TAGACCTAGATGGTTAGTGTACAACGACGCATACTTGAAGGACGTTTGTTAGATCCAAAAGCCTTCCCTACGACAACGTGACAAAAGGTGGAAAATAATTTTTTTTAAATTACCAGTATTTATGCCAGAAGTGAACCTGATATGTGAATATAAAAAAATGTTTTTTTCCTAAATTGATTTTGTAATCAACCCTAAAAATAAGATGTTGTTTCAACGCCGGTCATTGAAATTTATCGACTCCAGGATCAGTGGTATCACAGCGCCATCGAAACTGACAGTCGGTTTGCGTGATAAGTCTTACAGTAATAATAACTCCTGATTTCATAATTACAGAACGGATGACGTGACGAAGGCTGGAGGAAGTTGACAGTTGATTTCTTGACAAGGCCACGTCAGAATTCTCAGTATTTTGTTAAACTGTTCAAGATCAAATGAAGCACAAATGAAGAACTTAATTTGTACTTTTCTATACTCGGCGAGATGAGATGAACCTTTAAGTTCCTTCATAGCAGGGAATTTGACTGGCTTCTCAAGGACTCCACAGAATGTAGGCTCACTGAAAGCTTTTATCCACACACTCGCCTTGGCCTAGGTGTAGAAACCCACACATCGTGTTCTTGTTAGCCCACATCTCAAGTCACACACCAAGTAAAGCAGCGACTACCAGCTTGTTTCGTGGGGTAAAAAACATTCAGACGTAACCATGTTTGAAACGAACGTTTCATGCTGCTACGTAAGTGGCGTAGATTCTTTAACATTAAGCAGGATCTCGCAGAAATAGGATGTGAGGTCAACATGGGACTCCATCAAATTCGGATAATTTCTTAGTTAGCTGAGCAACTGTCAGATTTTCAAGGACTCTGCTCTGTGGAGTTAGTTTTGACCCTGAATCTGTACGAGTAACTGGCAACTTTTATGTCTCGTAATTCATGGTCGAATGGGTGGATGGTTATGAAAGGTTCAATTGAGAGGTATAAGCCATTTGAAACATCGAAATGATACAGAACTGAAATCGGCCATGTCAGAACAGTGTTCATGATCATGAATGTAGCCACAGCAAATTTTAACTGAAGACCGGCTGTCCTACTCAGCATTTTTACGAAACCAAAATATTTGTAAAACATCTCCAAATGAAGATAATTTAAAAGCTAATACGACAGCAGTAACAGAACTACGAAATGATTCTATATTTGTTTATGGAAATGGCTTATGCTTTTTTAGTTACACTTCATTTTTCCTGTAATTTCAAATTATTGCACGCATAATTTCAATTACAGTGGTATTTATGCAGTCTGTCCGCAACGGATGGCTCAAATTCTGACATGCTGGGGAAATTTTTGATTCAAAATCGCACCATTAAATTATGCAAACAGCAATATTATTGATCAGAGGCATCCTATTGTGTGATGGTTCAACCAGACAACACAAAAATCTGCCCACACACCTGAACATGGTACTCACTAGACCGAAACATGCAGTGGACAAAATGAAAGCATGCATTTGGAAACAAAGATTACTGTTGTGTGGGCGGATACTGTATCATTGGTTCAAACAACAAAATATGTCATTTGTGATTAACGGCGTACCGTGATCACAACTTTGAAAGGCATAATCAATAAATGTTTAACATACAGAGTATGAAAAGTAATATGTATAGTGGAAATGCATGTTACTCCCGTTTAATCTGCGTTAAAATGTGGTAGAGATTACGGCATGAACTCCACAATATGATGAGCGTTTCATTTCCCCCTCCGTTCCAACGGCGACAGGCCTTTCCGGCAACTTACCCCACCCCAAATACCGTATTTTAAGTAAAGCCGTTTCAAATAAATAAATATTTTGCTTGATGTTTCTTTTTAAAATGAATTGTTTCATAATAGATTATGGCTTTATTAATACTATACTTTAATCGTTTATAGATTAAATTACTGTACAAATTATTCCTGTTTAAATTCGACAATAAGGTGGCGTGTCGTGGAGAACCGCACCCGTATGACATCACATACCCATTGGAGAACCAATGAGATGTTTGCATTCTGTGAAGCCAGCAGTTCTATATATTAGCAAGTGACAGCTACGTTGGTATTCAGTGTCCGTTTGGAGAAGCGTCCTTGCTTGGTTCTCACAAACAACATCGAATATTTAAGACTGTTTTCTTGTTATAAGTCATCAAATTATCTACTAGAATGGTGAGTCGCTCATTTCAGATATTTTCAGGAAGTAATTTTCGTTGTGTTTGATTACAATGTTTTTCACGAATGGAATGTGCTACCTCTGCAAAATGCGTTATTGTGATTAATCAAATGTAAGTTCTGGCATCGAATTAGTGCGAAAGTAATATGAATTTTTAATTTTGTGTGATACGTTTATCATATAACCTAAATTTAACTACTTTTGCTTCTACGTGGCAGTTGCTGCATGTCGGCAATGCAGGAACTATTGCTACTGAGTATTCAATCTCTTTTTGCTGAGGCTTGAAAGTTGAGTCTGGAATTAATTTGTTATAAACTTGGAACGATCAGTGAGTTTATGTATTAAATGAGTTTCCAATGTTGCTAAGAAGGGATTTTTGTGACCAGTGGTGCGTCCGTTGTATATATTTGTACATGCATTGATGTGGCGTTGTCTGAAGAATCACTACTTCCATATGTGTGGGTTTTGAACTGTGGCTCTAAAACATTTCTGAAATTCATAAGGTACTGTAATTTGATGTTTCACTTATTAGCATATGAAATGTCAGGATTTTTCAATTTCTTCTCATGTGACAGGGTAGTCTGAAGTAGTGTTATGTTTCAGCGTGAGTGTATTTCAATTCATGTTGGGCAAGCCGGTGTGCAGATTGGAAATGCATGTTGGGAGTTGTACTGCCTGGAACATGGTATTCAGCCTGATGGTCAAATGCCATCTGACAAGACTCTGGGAGGTGGTGATGACAGCTTCAACACATTCTTCAGTGAAACTGGTGCAGGAAAGCATGTACCAAGGGCAGTGTTTGTGGACCTGGAGCCCACAGTAGTAGGTATGTACATTTGAAATCTTACAAGTGAATTAAAGGAGCATCCCATTTAATTGTATTGGGAAATGCTTGTTGAAATGTAGCAAAGTATAATGTTGATGTTGGACGTTGACTGATGTGTTCACAGATGAAGTACGGACTGGCACATACCGACAGCTATTCCACCCTGAGCAGCTGATTACTGGAAAGGAAGATGCTGCCAACAACTATGCCCGAGGTCACTACACCATAGGCAAGGAGATTGTGGACGTCGTTCTGGACCGCATCAGAAAGCTGGCTGACCAATGCACTGGTCTTCAGGGTTTCCTAATATTCCATTCATTTGGTGGGGGCACTGGTTCCGGCTTTACGTCTCTGCTTATGGAAAGGCTGTCTGTTGACTATGGAAAGAAGAGTAAGCTCGAATTTGCAATCTACCCCGCCCCTCAGATTTCAACTGCTGTTGTCGAGCCCTACAACTCCATCCTCACCACCCATACCACGCTTGAACATTCTGACTGTGCTTTCATGGTTGACAATGAAGCCATTTATGACATCTGCCGACGTAACCTGGACATTGAACGCCCCACCTACACCAACCTTAACCGGCTGATTGGCCAGATTGTATCCTCAATTACTGCTTCTCTCCGGTTCGATGGCGCTCTGAATGTTGACCTGACTGAATTCCAGACTAACTTGGTGCCCTACCCCCGTATCCACTTCCCTCTGGTTACCTATGCCCCTGTCATCTCAGCTGAGAAGGCATACCATGAGCAACTTTCCGTAGCTGAAATCACAAATGCCTGTTTCGAGCCTGCCAACCAGATGGTAAAATGTGACCCAAGACATGGAAAGTACATGGCGTGCTGCATGCTGTACAGAGGGGACGTTGTTCCCAAGGACGTCAACGCTGCCATAGCTACCATCAAGACCAAACGCACGATTCAGTTCGTGGACTGGTGTCCAACTGGCTTCAAGGTTGGCATCAACTACCAACCACCAACTGTGGTTCCAGGAGGGGACCTGGCAAAGGTACAGCGTGCCGTGTGCATGTTGTCCAACACGACCGCCATTGCTGAGGCCTGGGCTCGTCTGGACCACAAGTTTGACCTCATGTATGCCAAGCGTGCCTTTGTTCACTGGTACGTGGGTGAGGGTATGGAAGAAGGCGAGTTCTCGGAAGCTCGCGAGGATCTCGCCGCCTTGGAGAAGGATTATGAGGAAGTAGGCATGGATTCTGTTGAAGGAGAAGGAGAGGGGGCTGAGGAGTACTAAATGTATACTCCAGTTTAAATTTGGATTGTCAATATTGGAAGAATTTTGTGTTCGTTTCATAATGTTGCAACCTGCACATCAGTGCTTGCTGATGTATTAAAATGAGTACATTTTGAAAGAATTTTTTTGTGCAATTTCTTTTACCTTCCATCCTTTTCTCTACTATCAAATTTTTCAAATTCTTGTACCAAATTTTTTTTTAACTGAAGCTGTGTTTTTGTCTTGCAAGTTAGTGGAAGTGATGGGTAAGAAATATAAAGTATTGGTTGGGATCCCTGAAGGAAGGAGGCCGCTGGAAGACCTTGGGAATATGGGAATCAATGGAGCAAACTGTAGCTGGCTCAGGATGGAGTTTGGCAGGCTTTTGTGAACATGAATCTTTTTGTTGCATAAATGCCATTTGACAAGTTTCCTCTGTTCAATTTGTATTGGTCATACTTGTGAAAAGAACATGGTAGGTGGAAAGCCAAGGGTAAGAAGTCTAAGATGGATGCAAGAAATGTACTGTGGTTAATGTCTGTTACTATAAAGGGACATGCTTCCTTTATCATGGCCAAACTAAGGCAAATGGTCAATTACAATTCAGAATTTTATCTGATCAATTTGAATACTCTAGTCCCTATAAAAGTGTGGTATTGCTAAAGAGTTATTAAGGTGTGAAGCTTTGTCTCAGGCAAAGGAAAGGTGGGTGAGGGTGCTATTTTTATAAACTTAATTTAAAGTTTCAACATAATACTGCTTGGCAGATTTTCTTTATTTCATGCATGTTTGAAATAACATTCACATGTTAAAACTGATAGTACACACTGAGATTTCAAAAAAATATTTGGGTATTTACAAAAATGAAGCATATACATGGATTATGATGGTTTGCTATTGCGCTTGATACGGTCTGATAACGTGAGTAAAATGGTGGACAACTTTAGCTGGTGCACCTTCAGCATATATAACGGTTCCAACAAAGTGTAGGTTTTGCATTCTGAATGTTCGTGACGCGTACAAACAATAGTTAACAGAGAAACTCGTGGAAGTTTGCTTCTGCTTTGGAACAAGTATGCACAGTGTCATATCTCTTTCGTATTTCCCACTAGAGCTGGTGGCTGACGATGACGTATCTGGACACAATGCAAGACAATTTCTACTTATATTAAAAAACAATGTGAAAAACACCAATTTCTATATTTATCTGACTAGAATATGAACTTCGTTTATCAGCAGAGTGGAAATAAAATTTCATTACTTGTTCAAAATGTATGAAGGTGGTTAGTTATGGCAGGATAAATATTTATTGACTAGAAATAACGTCTATGCCACAGGCAGGATTTGAACTGTAGACAAGAAGGATCACTCATGAATGTGAAAATATTTTTTAAATCATATGCAAGATTATGGTAGGTCATTCATTACCTGGGAGCTCCAGAGCCCATTTCTGAGGTGCACCATCTGTGAGTGTTAGGCCATCATCTAGTGCGATTGATAGATACAGGCTGATTTCCCCACCAGCTGAACTGATTGTTAGATCTGTTGGTAGCACTGTACCAGACTTCTTACTTTTCACCTGTTTGAGCTCTTGTGGCAGGAATATTTCCAGCTGCAACAAACCATCTCATAACACCATCCTTCACCTGCTCACTATAAATAATGTACAATTTATATTCTGTCCCAATTCACCATGAGTATCATAAAATTGTTGAAAGTGGCTCAACACTTCTGACTTGTATCACAGAGATGCTCAGCTGAATTTCATGACATCTTTTCATTGGTTTCCCCCCTAAATTTCCAGACATCACCATTAAATATGGCAAGACTGCTCCTTTTTGATCCACTCAACTTCACTGAACAGAGCCAACCTTTAATATCATTTGACATTAAATAATCATTGCATTTGATACAACAGTTGTTAAATAACCTCTTAACTCATCCAGTAACAAACAAATTAAATATGTTTACTGTTAGAAATCAGGACACTAACATATGATAGCTGCAACAAATTAACAAATCTATAAAGCTAAGACTGATAAGGTTCGGAATTACAAATATTAACGACTTAAATGTGCCAAATTATCTCCAGAAAACAGTAAGAGGAATATTGCAGCAGGTGTGCAATGCAGGAGACAATGGTAATGTGTGATCAAACAGTTGTTCGTGATTTTTATAATAATTCATTGTAGTCTTCACAAACTTGAACACATCCCTTATGTGTCCCTCACCTACTAATAACAACAGCACCTCTCCATTTGGGGCTGCGAATAAATCATAAGAAACTTAATTATTTTATATTCTGAAGTTCTGCAAATTTTACTTTGTAAAACCAAAGAACAACATGCTTCCTAAAGTTCACTTTGTATGTATGGACAGAGTAGTATAAAACAAAAAGTTATAGTAATGCCAATAATCATTTGCACATAATTTCTGTTAACATAAATATTCAGTACCTGAAAACTGACAGATATAACATCATAAAGATTTAATTTTGAAAATATATAATCTGTTTTCATGAAAAATTTACAGGCACATTTGTCTTGTACCCATTTTACATTGCCAAGTCAAAATGCTTCTTCACTAACAAATACTGAATTTGCCTGCCAAGTAATTCTTTCAAGCTACAGTGGTGTAGCCAAGGGCTCCATGAATAACATTTGGTCATGAAACAAAATCCACATCTCCGTTCATTCATACTGAAGCTGAAGATGTGTTTTCGACCAGTCTCTGTTATGTCATCTGTGACTTTTGGCAAAATTGTCGAACTTCAGACAAATAATAAGGAAAAAATATCAGAGACCTGTACAGAGGCATTAATAACTTTAAGAAAGGATATCAACCCCAGACCAATTTGGTAAAGGATGATAGTGGCAATTTGCTTGCAGATCCAATAAAAATTGTGAATAGGTGGAAAAATTTCTTTAGCGAGCT